TACACTGAAGACTTTATCACAAGGAGCAGATCTCTAAACAGCATTCAAGGACACGGATTGGGGTCAATAAGATGCTTTTCTGCTTAATAACTTGCTTAACCTACTTTTCATGTTATGCTTCTCTGATGAGCTACTGCATTCCTTCAATGACACCCTTCTGCCTGTATCTGTTTTCCAGAGCTCACCCATGTTTCATTTCTAGCCATTGTATTCATTTGGAGCAGCTGGATGCTAGGCACTGCAGCGTGCTCTGCTTGTGAATGGCAGGGCAGGCACTGAACGCTCGAACACTGCTCCGAGCAAACACAATGAGTTTTTAGATGGTTTGGGCATTTTGGCTCTAAGATGTGTATTTAATAAAAAGCTGCACAGGACCGAGTTTATATCTTTTCCATTATTAATGTCCACTAGAGGAATACTGCCTGAAGAAGGCTTATTGCACAAACAATTTGCCCCTGGTATGCACAGCATTTGGAAGTCCCTCAAGCGACAGAGGAAAATGCAAGTAAAGTCTTGGCTTTAAGCTCTTATTTTTGTTTGTTCATACTGAAGTAACGTGTGGTGGGATAAGTTGCTTTGTTCCTAAACAACAGTTTTAAGGCGGAAAATTTATTTATTTATTTATTTATTTATTTGTTTGTTTATTATTTTAATTTTATTTTGGGATTGCTGGTTTGGTCATTATTTTTTCCTTTTCTTGTATTTTTTTGTTGTTTTGAGAGACACAGATCTCCTTGAGTTGAGAATCAAAGAGATTAATGGCTGAAAAAGATAACCCCAAGTAGTGAAAAGTATATGTTAATACTCCAGTTTCACAAATGTCAATGGCAGCGGCCTGCCCAGGGCCATGCAGAGTAGGCTGAGGCAGGAGCAGCTCTTGGTGTTAGATTCCAGGCAAGTCCTCGCAAGGCATATGCTGGTTATTGTCAGTTTGATGGGCCACATTGCCATCTGGGGCTGTCTCCCCAGGATAAAATCTTGCAAATCCTGCTGTCAAAGAGGATTATCAAGGTGTGTCTCTCACTACTTCTTCTTCTGTGTTTATTCATGCACAGAATGCAGGTTTTCTTCAAAACTTGGTGTTTGTGCTCCAAGGAAGCAAGAAGAAAACAAGGCTGTGTGTGCTTCGCAGAAAAACCTCTGAAACTGGAAAGGAAGCTCACCCTACAGTGCACCAAAGCTGTTTCCATGCATGGTGATACATCCATTTTCTCTTGCACAGGACATGGAGTCTTGTCTCTACAGACAATGCAACGTCTCTGGCACATGGGTTAGCAAGAGCATTTGCAATTCAAGCTAAAATCTCTAAAGTGTGTTCCTTAAGGATAGAGTGCATTGTTGCTTCATTAAGTTATTAAGAGTTGTGAACTATTATTTAGTTTCTAAATAATTGTGAAACTTCCACAAACCAGAAAGGTCACATTTCCTGCAGCTCCCATTAATTTCTTTTCAAAGTGTTCACATTCTGCAGGTCTGAAATCCATGTAATTTTCAATTATATATTTCGGGAGTCTAAGTTTAGGTGTTAATTTCAATCTCATACTGCACAAAAGACAAATCTATCCCTCAAAATCCCTGGCTGGCAGTCAGATGATTCCTCTTCCTCTAAAGTAATTTTCTTACACAGTGTTAGAAAAGGTCCTTCTCTTCTGACCAAAGTTCTATAAAAAGGGCAAGCTCAAATGTAAGGCACTTCTTTCTCTTATATCAAAGTCAATGAGACAAGAGAAGATATCATTCATCAGTGTTCTGGGTGAAAGAAGATTGTCTTTGCTAGTTTGAGCTTGGGCATCTTGAAACCTCTGGAAGAAATTCCAATTTATATATTGTACCTTCTGCACATATGAAGAAGCATGCAAGCTACTAAAAGTAATTCAGAAAATATTGTTAGCAAGTCCACAGAAGCTGTTATTAGCAGGATCTTGTACAGGCAGTGTGGATATAAGATTTCAGCTTAGTTTCTGGGCCTCAAAATCCTTTACAAGCACTAATCTCTTAATCAGTATTTCCAACAACATTATCTGCCCAATACATTAATATGGCTTTATCTTACTCTGAAAGACTTTTGTAAAGAAATATCAGGTCTCAGTCTTGTCTATTCAAGCTTTGGCAGCAACAAACTGCTAATATTATTAGTACATTCTTATAAATTTTAATAAAGTGACCAACCTGTGTTCTCTGTATAGCACATGAAATTACAGATGAAACTGGATTAATTCTGGTCTGGTGTTACCATCTGCTGCATTGAAAACTTAAATTTCCATAAGCAGTCCAGCTCTTCTTATTCAGTAAACACTGAGTATTTTTAAGACCTGGCATTTAAGTAACACAATCCTCTAATCAGGCACTCATGGGAAGACATAGAAGGTTCAAAGTTTCCAGGAAGCTTTATATCTGACCCAGAGATCATCTCAGATTGTTATTTCAAGACAAGATGCTGAAACTTTCCACACATCTGGTGCAATTTGGTCATTTTTGTTTACTACCTCAATCAGACATACTATTCCATTAATTCATGTAGATTCTCCAGATATCAAGTCACTGAATAGGAGCAAAGCATTTTATTAATTATAGCTATGTGACACTTTTTGTTGATGCAGTGGCTGGTCAAAAGATATAAAAAAGTGCAAAATCATCAAGGACTGAATACAAACCCCGTGATTTTCAAAAATAACTGAAGATTCAACTAAAATAATATTGATTACCTGTAGCAAAAGAAAATACATTTCTTGTTAGTTAATCTTCGTGAGTAGCAGAGCCTAGGGGAGAGAAGCATTGCCCACAGCAGAATGTAATTAAGTTAAGGACCACTAAAGCAAATTAGATATGCAGGGGATCATCCAAAAAATGCTGATCAATGTCACTCTAGAACATTCCTCTACTGTCTTTGAAAGGTCATGATCATCAGGGCAGGGTTCTGATGATAAGGAGAAGGCAAATGTAACATCCATTTTCAAGTAGGTCCTAAAAGGGATTTATAGGCCAGTCAGCTTGACCTCAGGCCCTTGAGAGGTGAGTCCAGGCACAGGACAGACAAGAAGATAATTTGGACATCAAACATTGATTTACCAAGGACATATCATCCCTGACCAATCTAATTGCCTTGGGCTCTGGATGAGGGTAGAGTAGTGGATGCTGTTTATCTTCACCTCTAGAACATTTTGGACACGGTTTTCCACAATATGACCAAGGCCAAGCTGGTGAAATAAGGCCTGGATAAGTGAATGAATAATTCAGTGGAAAATTGGTAGGACTGCCAGTCTCAAAGGGTGGTGTTCAGCAGGCAGATTAGTGACTAGTGGCATCTTTCAGGGAGAGACACCTGGGCTGCAGTGGTTTAGGATATTTACTGGTGGTTTGGATGAGAGCATGGAGAGTGATCTCAGCAACTCAGTGGGCAAGCTGCCCCAGGGAAGCTTTGTGCCTGGCAGCAGGAACGCAGCTACACACCGGGCTGTCTTGGCAAAAGCATGGTCAGCAGGTGCAGGAAAGTGGATCTTCCTCTCTCCTCCACCCAGTGAGACCACACTTGGAGCACTGGGTGCAGACTAGGGCTCCCCACTAAGAGAAAGACATTGCCACACTGGAGAGAGTCAAGTGAAAGACACCAGGACAGGGGAAGGGCTACAGTCCATGAAGGGTAAGGAGAAGTGGGGAAGCTCCCAGCCTTTGTAAAGGCTTGCTGCTTTTCAGCTGCCCTCTTGGAAAAGACATGGAAGAGGGACCAGTCTCTTCCCAGAGGTGCATGTGACAGAGCCAGGAGCAGCAGATTCATGTTGCAGCAAGGGTAGTTCTAGTTAGGAAAGTGTTTTTCCAGTAGGAAAAATTAAAAATTGCTGTGAGGGTGGTCACACACTGGAACAGGTGCCCAGAGACACATCTGAGCAGGCATGGAGGTATCTGAGCATGCTTGGAGGTATCTTGCCTGGACACTGCCCTGAACAATCTGATCAAACTCTAAATTTGACAGAAGGGCAGAAGGTTTTGAGCAGAAGGTTGGACCAGGTAATCTTCAGAGATTCCTCTCAAAGGACAGCATTCTGGATTTTACATGCAGCAGCTCCTCAGGTATCCTTCAGGTGTCTAGACAGGCAACACTGAGTGGAGTCATCAAAAGAAGGCTCTTGGCCAGGCTTGAAAAGTAGGACACAATAGTGATCATGTGGATGATTATGTTTAGATTTATTGTAAATACTGTATCTAAATATTGTTAGAGATCAAAACTCTATCATATATGACAATAGATTATAGTATAATAGGCAATGATCCCTCCTGTTGGGTCAACAAGCTTCAGTGAGATCTCCTTGCTTTCTAAACTTCTCAGAGAAGTCTAGGTGTGGCTAGGTTCACTTAGCCTCAGATTTAGTCTACAGCCTATGCCAAAAGGGTTATAATGTAAGTAGGTTTGGCTAGAAGCATACAGGATTACAATCTTCAACCTTGCAGAATTCACAATTGCAAAGAACCTATGTAGCTACTTTAGGATTTTATCTCCATATTTGATTGGATTGATTAATTTTGCACTTCTGCTTAGCCATTCAAAAGTGAGTGTTCCCTGTCTTCAATCTGGATGTATCCTGCAACTTCCTAAGAACAGTCTGCCCAGATGTCCCAGTCTCCAGCACTAGTCTGTAGCCTTGGGCATGCTGGTGTGCACCGGGGTCAGTCACGAGCATTTCAGCTCCCCCATCTCTGGAACATGTTAATTATGTGAGCATTCAGGCAGCTCATCCTGCAATACCACTAGAGTTCTTACCTTAGGACAAAAACTTTGTCCATAAGAGACTGTGGAAAGGGAGGGGGGTGTGTATGTTTATGTGAGGGGATGTGTGTGTTTGTGTGTGGGTGTGGGTGTGTGTGTGATGCACCTGACTATCTACTCTGCAGAGCTCAGGGTCTCTCCTGTAACCAGATGGTGCCACATGCTTCAGAGGCAGGAGGGAAGCAGTGACAAAGGCAGGGCTTGAGCAGAGATTTCATCTTCCCTCCTTTTTTCCTAGGGGAAGCAACCCTGAAGAAGGATGGAAAATCAAATTGGAGCTGCTTAGCCAAGCATCAGAGCTCAGGAGAGGGATGGAGAGGCCTGGCATAGGTGGAATGGGTGAGTGGGTAGGGGAGCAGGAGGCAGGGAGGGCAGCCTGGCAACTGGCCTGGATCTCAGCAGCTGCTGTAGGAGAGCTGGGCACAGCTGGCTCCAGAAGAGCCCTGTGGATAGTTGGAGTTGCTCACACCTAGTGCATAATGCATGCAGACCACCCCGAATGAATTGTCACAGTTACACAGCAGCAGGGATTTTAATTCTTTTGGGCTATCTAATACTGCAGTTTGAAAGCCAAAAAAGTTTAGGCTTCTTTTCAAAAGCATTTCACAAGGCCAAAAGACTGAGAACACATACCGCTGAAAATTATTATGGACATTTCCATGGCTGGTTGGGTGAATCTGTGGGAGTTACTTGTCCATTACTTCCTCTCATACTTTGTGTTTATATTCTGGGTTTCTTCCACCAGGTATTTGTCCAACTGCTGTGATGTTTCCAGGTTAACCTTACTGAGAAAGAAAACTTCTCCTCTTCTTCACCATCACCATCACTGCAAGGATGCATGGGCCCTTTGGACCTGAGAATCTGAAGACCTGGTGTCTGGTCCTAGCCTGTCACTGCTGACTGGGGTGATTATATCTTGTGCAAAACACATGTCAGAGATTTCTGCCTGCAGTGCTGACCTGTACTGAATAGAGAAAATAAAGACGAAGGCAAGAGTATGTCAGGTGGAAGCATTTCTCTGTGCATGTGGGGACATTACTGGGGGCTGGGGACAAGTCACCCTGTGTAAAAAGTGATGTGGAGATGTGCAGTGGTGCTTGCCTCTGACTGTCCAGAGCGACAGCTCCTGTAAGAGCCTGGATGGAGTGACCTCCTGTAAGAGCAGTGGCATGAGACAGGAACAGCCCCTGGCATGCTTCTGTGGAACTTAGATAAAATCAAATAATAGGACTTTTTGGGAGACATGGGAAGGGAGTGGGGGAAGTGTGCTCCTTGTTTGGGATGCTAGATAGCTTGGTAAAACAGCAGGGACAATAAGAATTGCTAGAAAACACAAAGGGATAAAGTTTCTGGCAGATGCTTCTTCCTCTGCTTGCCATGGAGTTAGTTTATTATTAATACTTTGGGCCTTTCTGTTCAATTAAACATTAACTAGAGCTCAAGGCATGCAGCCTCTAAGCATGCACGCAAAGCAGGAGCCTTGCAGAGTCAGAGGGCAGAGCTGCTGCTGAGGGTAGGGCCACAGAGGGCAGAGATGCTCTAAGGAATAATGCAGCCTCATCCCTTTGGAAACAGCATCCAGACTGATGGGGATGGATGTCAGCATGGTAGATGTTCTTAACCCCTAAGATAACTAAAACTGAGGAATCTGTGGACAATTTCCTAGGGAAATTGCCAGCATTCCAGAACATGGCATTAAAAGATGATCTCAAAATCCTTATAAGTGTGCTGAAACAAAAACACTCTTCTGCAGAGAAATAGTATTTTTAGAAAACAATTCCTACACTAAAAAGAAATTGTTATTTTTACAAAGAGATGCTTCATATTGTGGATGTCTGAAAGTCTAGATACTATTTCTGAAGTATGTCTGAAAAGCTGTCAAATAAAATTTGAAGAAATTGGATCCAGTGACTGACCTTTGGTGAAAGGCAATGAAGGAATATCAGGTGCCTGAAACAGACACAGAATTTTCCTGATGAAAATACATATTTGCATGTAAAAAACACTACAAATGTTTATTAAGCATAAACACCTTTGATTACTCGGCAAATAAGCAGTATCAATATCTAGACAGATCATACACACATTCTTTAAAGTACTAAAAGCACAGGGGAAATACAAAAAAGCCTTAAGGCTATGTGTCTGCATGGCTGTGTAAAGAAACAAAAGCCATGTAAAAATAAAGAAGGATCTGTGCAGAGGAACCAAATCCTAGAGAAAAGAGAAAATGTATACCCTTCTGCTTTATTTAACTTTCAGACAGAAACTCAGGGGCTCACAGAGATACATCCATAATTCACAACTCATGAGGATAGTTCAGGAAAGTTTTTGTCTGTTCCTTGAGCAGGAAATGCAATGATGCCAGTATGGGTTTACAAATAAGTTGATCAGAGCCACTTCCTGACTTCCAGTCTGTTTTACATGAACATAGTTTTTACAACTTTCTGAAGAATATTGGCTCTTTTGAGAGACTCTGTTCTGCGATTTTGTATTCTACTCAAAGCAATTCTTGAATGAATAGATTAAAGCAGCAGCACTGGAAGGCTGCTCAGAAAAAGCCCTTGAACATATCTTTCTGTTTACTTTTGCTATTGTTAGATGATAATATTTAATTTTTTCCAATATCTGTACAAGTTATTTTTACTATGTTTGCATTAAACACCTTTAGTGTTAGCTGCGGTTAGTATTTTACTATAGTCTGGGCTGCCTGAATGATCAGTGGAGAAGGAAGAAAATAGCACTGTAAAAAGTGCAGAAACAACTTATAGGTTAATGATGCAACGCTAGACAAAAAAATTCAAAATGAGCATGCTTAATATTTTTCTGGCCAAAATTTATTTTAGCTGGACCAACATGAAAAATCAATCTTGGCAGAAATACCCAAGGTCAAAGGTTCCCCAATTTAAAGGCAGACATTGCGTGACTGAAAATTGTATTCATCTTTTGTCTATGCAATGCTACCTCTGCTGTCCTTAAGCAAAACAAAAACTAGGTAAATAAACAGAATTTTGAGAGGCTAATTCTATCTCAGGGAGGACTTTTTTATCTCTTAATGAAGTAGTTCATTATTTCTCACTAGCAAAATCCCTTAAGACTTCATATGAGAAATACACATCCAATACTCATAACTCTCAGAGTGTGCATGATACATACAGGCTAGGAAACTTGCTTTGCCTCTTTATCATTTGCAGTCAAGGGTCAATTTTTCTTCTTAAAAAAAAAAAAAGGAGGTAAAAGAGAATGGAAAGAAAAAAATTCAAGAAGATGAAAGTAATAATTTTTTTTGCCAGCTTTTCCCCTTTTTCTGTCTTTACAAAATTGAAGGTTTACAGCTATTCCTATTCTCCAGTGGCATTCATTGGGACAGATTTCAATACTTGTTATGGTAAAAACAGTCAAAGAGGGATTGGGCCATATTCAGAGGAAAAAAAAAGAACTACTGTGGACACATAGACAAATCCAAAAATCAAACGTCTTAAATATAGTTTCACATTAAAAGACCTGAGATTTTTCAATATATTAATTGCATTTGATTTCCTTACTTTTACCATAAAGTTTATCCCTGAGGTTCACAGTCAACCATTAGTATTCTATTTGTTAATCAAGTGTAAACAACCTGAGGTTTCATGTGTCTCCTTTTTCTGATCTAACAGTGAAACATGTTCTTTGCCTAAGATAACAGCTGCTAAAATACTGGTAATTCCACATTGTGAGAGACTGTTCAGACAGGTTTCCCACCATGATCCAACTCTTCCCTAGTAACAAAATCAAATTCTAGAATTGAAGTGATTATGAGAGTCAAAATCCTCTGCAATCGGAGTGATGTGTAGATTACACAATAAAACATTTACTTGGTTTCTTTCTCTGGCAGCCTTCAAGTGTTCCTCAAAACCCATCATTTGGACAAACATTGGGGTTGCTTTGTTTGGCTTTTTGTGGTTTTTTTTGACAGATCCCCTTCTAGATGACTGTTGGCCAAGCCACTTAGAGCAAGCAGGAGTGATCCCACTGAAGGGCCACAGAGATAACTAAGGGACTGGTGCCTCTCTCCTGTGAGGAGAGGCTCACAGCCTGCAGAAGAGATGGCTCAGAGGGATCTTATCAGTGATTATAAATGTCTGATAAGAGGGTGCAAGGAAGATGAAGCTGTGGTGCTCAGTGACAGGCCAAGAAGGGAACAAACTGAAATTTCATTTACACCTAAACCCCCTCCTTTTTCCCTGTAATAAGGCTGGGTGAAGATCTCCTTTCTTGGAGATACACAAAACCCTACTAGATACAGGTCTGAGAAATCTTCTACAGCCAGCACTGCTTTGACTCAAACATCTTGGGATGACATTATAAAGTTTGCAGTGATCTCAAACAGCAAGAAAATGCAACAAATCTCAAACTTAATTTCCTCTAGGTACACAGCATGTTGTCCAAACTTTGCCAGACATGGAGGGGAAGACTTAGGAGGAGCAGCAGGGGTCAATTAATTTGTTCAGCCTGGAAGAGACTGAGGGGAAACCTCATGGCAGTTACAACTTCCTCCTGAGGGGAAGAACAGGGGCAGACACTGATCTCTTCTCTGTGGTGACCAGTGACACGATTTGAGGAAATGGCATGAGGCTGAGTTTTAGGCATATCAGGGAAAGGTTCTTCACCAAAGGGACAGGGTTCATCTGGAACAGACTCTCCAGGGAAGTAGTCACAGCACCAAGTCTGAGAGAGTTCAAGAAGCATCTGGACAATGCTCTCTGGCACTTAGTGTGACTCCTGGACCTGTGCAGGGCCAGGAGTTGGACTCCATGGTCCTTGCGAGTCCCTTCCAATTCAGCATATTTTATTATTCTCTGATACCATGATTCTATGAAATATGAACATAAAGAGCACCTATGATAATAGAGTGAAGGTTTAGTTAACCCAATGGCCAAAAATTATGTGCAGAGAACAGTACAACAGCATAACAATTTTGCAGTACTTCCACTGTATACGGAAATATTTCTGCTTTTCCAGAATACCAATTTGAACAGTTCAGTAACCTCTTATTTTGTATTTAAGAGAAGTCCCCAGATTTCTCTTCAACTAACTTTTCTGGTTGCCACTTCAGTGCCAGTCAACATTTAGCCCTTCTATGGCTGGGGGTCCCACAAGTTAACCAAGCATGGTGGGTGAAACCACCCACCTCTGGGAATCAGAGCACTTGTAGCAGTATTATGAGAGTTGGTAACCCAGTGATTGCTGAGCTGAGATTCTTTCTTAGCCACAGGAAATCAATATGAATGTCAATGCACTCTTTCTTGTGATGTATTACGGTTTTGTCTTCTGTTACCTGTGTCTTGTTTGTTTCCATTCTCTATTCTTCCTTATACCAGTCCTCTTTTGAGTTTGTTGGGCTTTGTGTTCCACCTTTTCTTTTGATTCCTCCTTCTGTTTTTACAATAAAAACAATGTCTTTAAATAATAGCAGCTACGGAATTATAATTTTCAGTTCACGTGACCAAAATGTAATTAAAAATCAAACAGAGTATGACTCATCAAAACATTTGGCATTTTTTGCTTTTCTTTTGCTTTTGTTATTTAATCGATTTATTCTGAAAGGACCTCAAATCTTGTAGCCTCTCATTGAATGGGAACTTCCCAGTAGCAACAAGTTGTAAGCAAGAATGTAAGCAAGACTTTATTTACAAATTGGAGGAAATAAGGAAGAAAATATGAGGAAATGAAGACAAATAATGATCATACAGTTACTTGTCATTGTTACCATAGAATTTTTTCATCTAAACCATATTAAGCTTTGTCTAGCACATACATCTGGCTGCCTTCAGCTGACATTCATTCAGTCTCTCATGCAGCGTGATTTGGTACTGCTTCTCTGGTAGCCAGCCTGACATAATACTGCATGGCAGTCTTTCACTTTGTGGCTATTTGGATGCATCTCCAAAAACCCAGATTGACTGAATTGGAATAAAAATTATCCTGATGTAGACAAAAAAAACAGTGGCC